AATATATATATATATATTACACATCAAAAGTTTTCTCTACTGAATCCTCTATAGAGTGTATCTGTTTTTTTATCTATTCGAATTTTTATTTTGCTTTCTTCCCCTTCACAGATTGATTTTCTTTTGAGAGTGGAGAGAGTGTTCTAAGGTCTGAGAGTTTTCATTAGAATTGTTCTTTATTTTTTGGGAAAACAGAACATAGAATAAATGAGTGATCAAGTGAGAGATTAGAGAAGTGAAGTGAGTGGCAAATCTTTTGGGCTTGAGCGAAATATCAAATCAAATATTGGTATTGGGCACAATACTCAAATACCCTTGTACGTCAAGTTTCTTTAAGCTTTTGGTCTGCTTTCGCAGTTCTTAGAAGTTAACGAAGTATCCTCCACTGTGTTGGTTCCATAGTGGTTTTCGTTTGGGTCGTTGTTTCAACAAGAAATCCTTTAAGATTTGTACAAGGCACCGATGATTCTTCATGTATTTACGATAACCACCGTTAAATATGCCAAAACTAACCATAAAAAAATTAGGATGGACAGAAAACTGGCAAAAACCACCGGACCACCATCGGCATGATTGCCGGAATACGCATGTGATTGTCAGATTACGACGAAGACGAAACCAACACTGAAAGACTCGATTGATAACCACGATTTACATATAAACTCGTACATCTCTCTTGCATCCATTTATTCCAAATATGAGTCATAGATATCAACACAAAAATGACTGGAAATAAGATGAAAAGACAATCGAGAATCTATGGCCGTCGCAATCCTTTGTAACTTATTGTAGACTAGAAAAGAAATAAATAAGAAAACTAGAGATTACGAAAAGGAGTAGAACCACCGGCCAGTGCCGGTGGCCCATAAACGTTCACATTTGAAAACCCTAACAGAAATACAATCGCCTATGAATCACCAAGGGAGAGAGACAACGGTTGACCGGATCTGTACATTATCTATATCATATCATTATATGTGAAGTAAAAAATCTCATGTGGTGTTTTCTCATGAATTTGAATCTATATCATTATATGTGAAGTAAAAAAATTTTATGTGGCGTTTTCTCATGAATTTGAAGGTGGTTGATTATAAAGGTATCCTCCTAAAAAAACATTTTAATTACTTTTCTTGCCATCGAATTATTTGGACTAAAATACATTATGTCACACGTACATATACCTATAGGTTTGGGTCTGATTTTATTGTGGCCCATCGATTTTACAAGTTTTGGTTTTCACTAGTCCATTTGTTTATCTCGGTTATTCTAAAACCCTAGGTATTGTTATCATGTATTATTTGGTAACTCCCCGTGTTTTACGCGGTTAAATACTTTTTAGAAATAAAATAAATTAAAAAATATTATTTCGTGGCTCAAAATTGGTAATGAAGTTTAATTTGAATTTAAGTTCAATTTTCTTTATATAAATAATATATTTCTTTCTTTTTCATCTTTTAGCACCAATTTTATTTTCATTAATAATATTGACAATAAGTTTATTTACAATTCGATTAACAAAAAACAATTGAATTGACCACATGATCCAATTTTATATCGTAATAACNAATTAAGATTTTATCGTTTTCTAAAAGTTTCTCCATTTCTAATGATGTTGTAGTGTAGACCTTGTCGTTAACGCATTGCACCAAACAATGTGTAAGGACTTCGAGTGTTCTATAGACTTCACCAAATCACTGTTCCGTGTCCAAGAATCAGATGGAACACATGAAGAGAAGAGAAGACACCAAAGATCGATCACAAAGCTACGCCAAAACGCAGTCATTGTTATATTCAACACTGGTCACTGGTGGGCTCACCAGACAACATACGAAGGGTAAGATATCTTCCTTCTTTTATGCATAATTCATATCTCCTCTTAACAGGTTTCAAGGAGGGAAATTGAGTTTACGAAAGATTAGAAGTGAAGAAGCTTACACCAAAGCTCTACTTCATACATGGGCTGATTGGGTTGATTCAAATACCAACAGCATGAGAACCAGAGTCTTCTTCATTGGTTTCAGGTAAGAATAACTTTCTTGGTGTGGAGTGGAAAAAGTGCTCTTTTTGATATTATTTTTCTGGTTTCTTCAACTGCAAGAATGGGGCATAGAACATGGGACGCCAATGCGATGCAGATACAACCTCAGTGGAGTCGTTTTTGGATAAAGTGCTCAAGGCAAACGAGATGACGATTGTACATGTCTCTTCCCCACAACAACAATTGAGTGTATAATTTTGTTGAACACTTTTCAACTTTAAAGTCGGCACAGACTTATGAGGATGAAGGCTCCTAAAGAAGGCTCTTCCTCTTGCACCTCTTGAGTAACCACATGCATTTCACCGCGTTTCTCCAACAGATGAAGTAAATAAGGTAACCTATCCTATTTTCTCATTTTGTCTTATATGACTGGACTCTCTTCACTCTCCCAGGAAGGTTGCCACACATTTCGCGGGAGATTCTAGAATTATGTTAGCCTGGGTGAGAAATTGTGGTTGTACCAATGCTCATCTGCTTCCATTTAACTCATCGTATAAGCAATCATAACTTATTGTACTGTTTATTTTGATAAACTGCCATCAATGTATTAGATGGTCTGTATGGAAATGATTAATTTCCACGTGGCAGTGCTTTTCTTTTGTTAGTACGGTCGATAATCATCTTGATTATCAAATTTCAAAGAATAGATACTTTGCATTGGCTTCACATAAACGCCAGAGTACGTATGTAAAGCTTGGCTACACGCAAGGATGGTTTTGTGCCTCTCTTTTCCACCCTGCTGCAAGGTGAGTAAGATGTGAATATATTCTTCTTCCAGTCCTCATGTTTTTTCTGTTTCTGAGTTTCATCTCCCTTGGCTTCTTATTCACATTTTTATTTGTTTCTGACGTGTGAGGAGCTACTTGGACATTTTCTTAAATGTTTTCAATGCTCTGCCTTTTTCTTTGTTTTCGTGGCAGTAATTGGATATTTGGTGCCAATGATGATAGGGCATATCTTTATTTTTCTGCTTGGGTCTTTTGTTGTTTCCTAAACCATGTCAAATTTGAATACTCTTCAGCAACAATATAGAAACATGCATGCATCTATGACTATGAGCACATATGTTTGTTGTAGATTGATGTAATCTTATGCTGGCTATATTATATCGGTAATTGAGTCCACATTTCATACATTTCCAGTCTTTGGCTGTAACTTGCTTTTTTTGTATGATATGATTCTGCTCTCTTGCGCAATATAATATTCTCATGTGAAGACCAGGATTGGAATTTCATATGTGATTTTAGCTTACAAAGTCTGTATTCTAGCTGCAGTGTGCTGCACGATGCGCCATGGATCCTTTTATGTTACTCGCACATCGACTTGATAATGGCTAAACGCGTTATCGAGATCTCTTCCACTTACAAAATAGCATAGTACTACTAGTGCACTGTTCAATAATCAAGGTGAAGCAAAACAAAAATGTATCTACATGAAATGCGGTCTTCGATCTCGCATGTATTCTATATAGTATTTACAAATCAAATATGATTGTATTTTACAAACACTATTATACATTCCCTTTATGAGAAGTGATAACTATACAATATACGAATTGCAAGTAGTTTGTAATATTCTCTAAATAAAATGGACTAGTACAAATCGAGTGAATGGATCTGAACTAAGCAGGTGTTTAGGTGTGTTCAAAAGCTTCCTGGCCTTGGATCTCCGCGTATGTGAGGGTAAGCGCACGCTGAAGTTTTCGTGGAGACAAAACCTCAACCTCAGCCAAGAATGTGGCGGTCACAGGCCGGTGATCGGATAGTTTAAGCTCGTTCCTTCTATAACAAAGAAGCTTCATTCCCATTCCATTCCAAATGATGCGGTCACACCTGATCAAATCACATTTACTTCAAACTTATCAATTTGCCATTTGATTCGTCATATGAAAAAAAATGTTGTATCATAGTGTGCCAAGAGAGTACCAGGCTGGTTTACGTTTCCCAGATTCTGGTTCATCTCCGATGTAATTTTCTGAATCGATTTCATATTTGTATGTTGGTGGAAAACCTAATGTTCCTTCTGACCATCCCCCAAATACATGCCCTTTTCTCATTTCATTTGAAAGCTACCAAAGAATAAGATGACGAGTGTAATTTCAATTTAGGCTTCGACTCTCCATCAAAACTTGCTTTAAACGTGATCACTTAAACAATAGAAAACACTAAGATCTTGTGATTCAACATTAACCAAAACAATGCAATTAACGTACCTGGTCATTCTCAACCAACATCTGCCATTCCTTTCTTGCAACAAGCTCATGTATCTTCTCATACGACAGGTTAATTCTATAGTTCAGATCTCCCAGCCAGATTATTCTTCTACAGAACGCTCATTTTGTTATGTTTGCTGATCAAGAAAAATTGTAATGGAATGGATCAACTAAGAAATAAAACGTACTCATGATCACAGATGCTTCTTGTAACCCCATTGACATTTAAAGAATGCGGAAGAAACTGAGTTCTTCTGTGAATTTCACGCACATCATCGTTTCTTTTCCGGTAATCTTCATCCTTTTCCCCTGACGACAGATGCGTGCACAAGAAACAAAACGGTGTTTGATAGATTGACATGCTCACAGATACAGATCCCTGCAACACAGCAAGAAACCGTAATTTATCGCCATCCTAAGAATAATTATTTAGACCCAAACTAATAAGAGAAATCAAGACCTTGTTACCAATGTAGCCCATTATGCCAACACCAACAGTAGAAACACAAAGGTTGCTGATGTGCTTGCGCAACCTCCTTCGAACCCAGATGGTGAGAAACACTCCAACCATCTGTTTACTCACAATCCTTACATATGATGGTTTTCTCGGTTTCATGAGAGTCAGATTCTTTGACTTGAAGGAACCACGTCTTCCCAAAACAAGTTGATTTAGCAGCATCAATGGAGGGTCAGGCCAGCTCAAACCAACTCTTCCGGAGTAACTAAATCTTTCTTCCCTTTTGGAATCATTATTAACCTGCATTGAGAGAATCCGGTCCGGTGTATTTGGTGATGAAAACTGCCTCGGTAGATATTCTTGGATTGGCAAGCAAGACACGGTGTCATTGGTTGAACCCAAAACGTCTATATTAATAAGTAAATTTTCTCCTTCAATTGGTCTGTCCGTGCTTTCAACAGAGTTGGGATTCTTATCCATTGCACGAATCGCATCACAGGCATCATGACTGGTTTCAACAAACATATCTTGTACATTGTAAGAGACCTCTTCGGATTGCTTAAACTTTGATGGAGAAGGGGGATCACTGTGACTTACAATCTTCAGCTTTCTAGGGCGAACTCGGTTTAGGGCATCCCGTATAATGTTCTCCCATTCAGAAGCAGGCTGGTCATTCTCAATACCGAAAATGTTTCCGGCATTTAAAGGAACAATTTCCTGAAGACTGAAATGAAATGACACGCAAGATGCATTTGAATCAGAAACAACCGAAAGCAAAACTCGGCTCCCCAGGGTAACTAAACAAAAGGTTCAGAGGAAACCGTACCCAAGAACATATATATCTGCAGGTTCAACAGTATCTATCCAACCATCGATATCCAAGTCAGTGGGTGGGACTCTTCCTCCAGCATTCCATGTCCCGGCACAGATTCTAGCTACATCAAAATCGCATATCAGGGACTCACCACGGAAGGAGTTAATCAACAAACAAAGCTGTTTGCACATATAAAAAAGTGGACTTTCTTAAACCAATGTTCAACAATACAGCATCTGAGTTTAAAATAGTGACAGGAAACCAAATATCTGTCAACAAACTAAAAGACGTAACAAGACAAGAATGAGAGAACAAGATAAGCAGAGAAATCAAAGACCTGATTGCTTTGGTGTCCATATACTGCTTCCTGAAAGTCTCAGAATTTCGTCTTCTAATCTTAGGGCCATCTGTGATTAGTTTAAGTATAAACAATCAGGACAAAAATATGACTCTGAATGAACAATTTTCTACCTCTAATGCAAACGCTCTCACTGAATTTAGCTTCTTTGGAAATCACTGAATTCCAAGAACAAAATCACATTACCGTCACTACATTCATCTTTCGTCACTCCAGAGCTACGTGGGTCATATTCTGCAACACCAGGTTCAAAACTCACTCACAAAGAGTAGACAAAATCAAACTGAAAACTAATTATTATTCAGATTAAGCCGAACTTGTCTACCTGGTCCGGTCGCGGTTTCTAAGTAGTCGTCATCGTCAGAATCAGCGCTATAATCTGATTCAGGGGAAGAAACATTGAACCATTTTCGGAGAACAAGACGTGCCCAGTAGAGCTGCATACATGAGAAAACTGAGCAGCATGATGTATCCCAATTGCTCTGCACAAAATTCACCAAAGTTAAATCCCCAAATTTCCAAAACAAAAACCCTAATCCAACAAAACTATACGAAACCGAAGCAAAGGAGAAGTGAGAGAGATACGGAAACCTCCGTTCGCCGAGATCGCGATCCTACTTCCGCCATATACTCCGGCCACGTCAAAGCCAACTGAGAGAGAAGAAGACTTAACGATCTTTGGTGGGAGATAGATTGAAATGCTGATCTGTCTTCTTACATTAGAACCGGAATTTTATTAGATTGGATTAAATACCGGTTTAATATTACCGGTTAATGCTAAGGTTGACTAAGTAGTCAAAATGGGGGTAAATCAGTTTGAGGTTAATTGGTTTATCACCAAAAGAAAAAGAGTTAGATCATTTGGTTTGGTGTACAATTGATTGATATAGTGTGGTAACGGTTGTCTACTGAGTGCGTAATCTCGGGTAAACAAGACTATGAAGAAACAACAGTCAATGATGAGTTGAGCTTGACACAAGAAGTGTAGTAGCTGGTTTTACAACATGGGACGGTTGGTGACTCAAGAAAGCAGTGTGAATTTCACATATGGAGTTCATTAAACGTGATGTCTAGTCATTGATGGTTTAAATGGATTTATGGTGATTAATCCACAGAGACTGTTGTTATGTGTAAGTTCAAACTTATTCAGGTTTATAGAAGATCAAAGTGCCAAGTCAAGAACCGGATGTCAAGGTTCTAAGGGGCAATATACAAGGAGACTTCAAGCTTGGCTCAAGGTGGAGATTGTGAGAATATGATCCAACTTGAAGAGCC